TCGTATTCGCCCTAACCAACGTGTGTCGGTCTTTAGGACACCTCAAAGGGAGCGAACATTCGCCAAACACATCAGCAGATCGGGAATGGACGAGCTGCTCGGCGAATGCCGAATGTGTGGAGCCACCTTAACATTAGGTATGAGAAATTACGAATTAACGTATTCAAATATTTGCATTTTTCAGACAAAATCGAAACTGTTTCATTCTTTTAGTATTTTGCCAGTGGTTTTGTATATCTAACGAAACCAATAAAACATCTGACATGACCACAGGCAGTGGCGGTTCCAGGGGTGGGGTCAAGGGGGCCATGGCCTCCCCCAAAAGGCCTGGAGTTTCCTTTGTTAGCATTTCTTTATTTGGCAAAATTGATTTAAACATTTAGGTTAGAATTATGCAAATATTTAAAAATAATAGATATATACACGTTATAAAAACAATACAATATAATACTGTTTATTATTTAACAAAAACCTATACGCCCACCCCTGGCTAGAAGCGGTTTATTTTCTCATCAATTTACGCTTATTTTCAAAAGAAGTAATATAGATCATATATCTTCATGCAATTCAAAAAGTTTAGAAATAATTTACGTGATTGTCTTAACTTTTCCTGCGATGAATGATTTTCTAATATATCTTAGCTTGGATATCGACAGTAAGCCAACAGTTGAGAGTAATTATTTGCAGCAATATGCAGCAATACTCAAAAATATAGCATGTAACGAATGTCACGCTTCATGTGTCAAAGACATCTGAAAGTATTAAGTTTAAACTACTCTGAATAATTATTTTCTCTTCTTAATAAATGTGTAATGATCTTATACGAAAATAGCGCCAGCAACTCTTTTATAGTGTTTCGTTTCAAGACTCTTAAGAACGATGGAACGAGAAACGTTAGAAACTGTTTGTATTGATTCTTATTCGAGCCAAAGAGTTCAATATTATGAACTGGATGGATAACAACATTCTATTGATACTCAGCATAAATGTAGCTCTACTATAAAAACAAATATTTTGACTGAATTATTTTTATTTGACAAAAACTATTATAATCATCCTACATCAAATAATGTTTCTAAAGAACGTTGGAATAAATGGATTCATTAAATATTGTGAAAAATATTATATTTAATTTAAAATTCTTTAAAAATTATGTCCAAAATTTACACTTTTTTCTGGAAGAAGAGTCAATTTCTTCTGGAAGACAAATAAAGGAAGTTCTGATAAAATGACGACCTTTCGTCATTTGACCAAACGAAGCTCATGCTATTTTTGCGGGAAAACGATCACCCACTTTGAGCCCGGAACGAAAAAAAAAACATGGAAAAGACTTCCAAAATAGCTATTGATAGCAGTAACTAGAATAAGGAAATGCCTTAATAGTAGGTATACAATAATCATACAATTATTGTGACACTCCAATGATATATTTTTTTCTAATCTAGAGTTGTTTTTTTAATGCGAGATCTCTGAACAACACATGCTAGGAGGTCCCAGTGACCATGGACGGCGTTATGTGGGCGGGCACCCGAGTACAAGGCATTTTGACCCAATATTTTTCGTTTCACAATGACCCTAGATAAGCTATCTCTAAAAGATTTACTGTGGATGACGCTAATCTGTGGCAAAACCCGCTGAGATGGGATCCGTGGCGGGGGAGCGCCCGCCGCCTGTCAGCCCGCAGTCCATAACTCAGCTCTTGGCGTTGCGGGGGCGGGGGCGGGGGCTGACCTGTTGCGCGGAGGCGGCCGGCGCGGGGGGCGCGGTGAGGGGCGGTGGACGACGCGCCTCGTTAGCCACAGCGGAGGCGGCCGCGGTCACGGCGGAAGGGGTGGTTGCGGGGAGCGGAGCGGAGGCGGATGCGGAGGGG